GGGAATCCCAAAAAAGTGTGATATCATATATTTTTTTAAATGGCATTGCAAATTTTTTGTTGCATATGAGTGCTTCCAGTGGTTACCTATATTCAGACGAATAGTTCTGTTGAACTTCTGATATGTTGTATCAAGAAATTGTTTATTAAAGCTTCCTCCTTTTTTATTCTTTCAAATGAAATAGTTGATGAAACGAGTGTTCGGCAGATACCTTTTGATACGATGAGAATTTTGATGGGGTTGTGAAGAGAAGAACATTTTGTTTTTCATTCACGCATCGAATGACATGAGAATATACAGTGGCTTCAATTTGGAATAAGAAAAATATAGTGCTTCACTAAATTTTGAACAACCTGGAGGAGGAGGATTCGTGTCAATCGAACTCGGTTAGCGATCTTCTTAGGCCTTATTTTGATATGTATCTCTTATGATTCTATTGAGCAGGCACTCTCTTATTTGTTATCAATGTTTTTGACCAGTGGTGCAAAATTGAATTTTTTTATTATTTTTTTTACGTGATTATCACTGAACCGATTCAAATTGAATTCCAGGAGTATGTAGGTAACCACTAGAAGCACTCAAATGTGCAACAAAATATATGGTATGCCATTTAAAAAAATATATCATTATGACGTCACACTTTTTTGGGACACCCTGTATAATCTAAATTATTCAACTGGTATGCGCCGTTTGATACAATTGAAGTCTGCAAAATATCAAAATCCTGACTCAACTGATAAATGAGCTTTAGAAGACGGGAGTTGAGATGCAGGACCCTACATATACAATATGATGCAAATGTATGGAACAAATTCATTTCAAAACAAGACGACTTCCGAAAAAAATCCAAAAACTAGACTTCAGAACTTTATTAATTGATGTATTTTTTTAAATAGACGACCCTTCGTTGTTCAATTCTCAGTAGCAGACCTCTGCAAGATTCAGTTAATCAAATGATAATCCATTTTAATTTCAATTTTCTTATGCAAAATTTTGACTGTTGAATAGACGATCAGTAGACCTTTCAAACGAGGTGTCACGTGACCCCTGTTTTCATTTGAAAATATCGTTCATTACGTCATTACTCCAACACCGGTGACGTAACATCTCTCATATGAATATCATGAGATGAGGCTTCAAAAATGAAACCTCACGTGTTTTTGGAATTTTTCCAAATGTCGCCCATTTCTGAAATAATGAATTTATTCCATACATTTGCATCATACTGTACATCATATATCTCGAAATATCGTCATAATCATGGAAGTAATTTACGATAATTCTCAACATTCTTGCCTGATATTCAACCTATTCTAGTAACATGCGATATATTATGATACACTGGAAGTGATGTGTATCAAAAATGTGATGTAACTAACATTCTACACAGTCTAGCGAGGTTAAATAGAATTCAACTCATTTTTCACAGAATGAAAATTCTGGAATGAATGTACGCTCGATTAGATGATTCAACACATTTAGTTGGCTCAGATGACAGTATCTGAATAGAGTAAAAAATATTTTTTTGTAAAATAGAGGAAGTAGGCATTGTTATAAAGATTTTTCGGTAATTGAAAACATACAAAGCGGAAACCCAACACCAAAAGTCATGCCATATTTTGTCTCTTACTTACGACCCGTACGAACTCGCAAATGGAAATAAGAAACGGAAGTTTTATTTCCTCTAGAAAAATCACAATTATAAAGGGTTTCCATCTCCAGATCTGAGATGAATAATGAAAATCCGGTTTTGCTGTCAAAAACTGCGTTATCGACCTAGAAATAAAACTTTATGTTAAAAATGAATTGATTGCAACATTTTTCACCCGTTGGAATCACGATCCGAGATGTTGAAATTACAAGAGCCTCGATACAACAGATTGTCTGTTTCCCAGGCAACCACATGACGTTTCAATGACGTCTTTTTACGTCAGTTGAATAACCAAGTTGACGTCGTATGACGTGATAAATTACGTGAATAAGTCACAGCCCAATGACGTCATATTGCTCACGTTTATTGACGTCATTCACTCACCAAACTGTGACGTCGTCAAACAGGCAAGGTGTGATAAACACCACTGACCTTTGATGACATATAATATTGGTTATGCATTGTTGAGTCTGCTTGGCGCTATCCTTCAGTACGCATCTCCATCAGAATGCAATCAGTTACTGGTATTTGTATCAAAAATTATGTAGTTTGTGTCGGCGAGATGTAAGCGAACCAAGAATAGTCTGATAGCAATGAAAAGGATGTTGGCAAATTTAGCTTCACTTGGTTGAGTAACGTATATACATACATTCTTTGTCACCCAACAAAAAAGTAAATAGCCAAAGTATTGGAAAATCATCTGAATGACGAAACGTCACACCGACGTGATTTTTAGACGTCATATATACGTCACTGCTACGTCATAAAAGTGACGGTTCCAATAGGTACACCCATATTACCATTTATATGTGAACATATATAGCTGGATTGGTTTCCGAGATATACAGGGTGTCAAGAGTTTTGAAAAAAGTTTTCTCCTACTTTTTGAGTATATACAGGGTGTTGTGAAATTCGAGCGACAACGCTTGACAGGTGATAGCCCTCTTGATATCATAATCACTGAGATAGGGACATACGGTCTTCAAGTGTTCAGTTCTCGATATACAGGGCGTTGAAGTAAAGAAATTAAAATAGTTTTTTCGCAATATCTCAAGAAAAATGGAATATAATGCATTCAAATTCGGTATATGGTATCATCTCTCAATGGTTAATTTTTTGACCAGAAAGACATTCCGAGAATTTCATCCAGAGGTGCGCTACAGATGGTTGTGATAACTTTTCCTCCCATATTCTCTACGCCACTGATGAAATTTCGATTATCTCCAAATTCTCGAATTGATTGTTCATGTTGAAAAAATGCATCACCTTCAACTGAGCTAAAATGAACAGTTATCGAGATATTCAACCCAAAATAGAAGTTTGCGCATGGTAATTTTTCATCTTCTTCAGTAGTAGAAGATTAAACAAATTTATTTTCTCTTTATGCATGGAATAACTATTTCTGTTCAGCAACAGAATGAGATCTGAATAGTATTTAATCTAGTCAACACCAGAAAAATATTTTTGCAAATTTCTACTACTGAAAATGATGAAATATTACTATGCAATCTCGTCGACAGGACGTCCCTGCAACGTCATGAAACTGACGTCTCATTTTACCCATTTAACTGACGTTCACTCGACATCGAGATGATGACGTGTTCATCACGTCATAAAAAGTATGTCATAGTGACGTCATATATTGATGTGTGACGTCTCTGGCGGAAAATCACCAATTAGGGACGTCACAGTGACGTGATTATTCGTCATCTGGTTGCCTGGGTTATTTCAATTATACCTATAGAAATACAGAATGCAGCAGGAAGATTTGAACTATATTGTCATCTTTCTTCAACGGTAATAGGACTGAATGGTTTTCAATAAGCCACTGTTAAGAAACAAGGAATATATTTGGACTTATTACTATTACTTATTATTATTTATTACTCATTATTTCTTATTATTACTTATTATTACTTATTATTATTATTACTTATTATTACTCTACTATTACAACTTAAAACATTATTCACGAAATTTCTCATAACACTTTTCGTTTGATAAGTTCGCGTCCCTAAGTTGACCACCGTCTTCTTCTATACATATAACCATCTTCATTCATCAAATTCAATTCCTCGCGAAATCTTCTCTTTGAGTTCCGAAAGTACACTCCGGACTTTGCTTATTGTTTCAGCTCGTTATCACATGACGGAAGTATGTCCGGAATAATTGCAGCAAATAGACGTCAAAACTCAAACGTGAATCGCCCTGTGTATTGAATTGTTCCTTTCAAATGTAGCAAATTGAAAATAAAAATTCAACTATCTCAGGACATTACTCAGAAATGGAAAAAGAAAGCATGAACTACTTTAAGAAATTACTCAATTCAACTGAATACGCAGTGTAATATATTTTTAAATTCAGCTTTCCATGGCGATTTCAAAAATGGAATAATATACAGGGTATTCCATTTGAAAAAAGTGTCGCAGAGTCATAACTCAAACGTGGATCACCTTGAATATTTGGTTCTTCCTCATAAATGTGTAAAAATTCAAAATTAAAATCGACTTGTGTCAGGAGATACTTTACGAAAGCACTGTATCTTACTATTGTTGAAAATACATAGGTACTGATTGAACAATATACTACAAACGACAGGAATTCTTAGTAAAGATGTCTGGGTTTTGATTCGAACTCAATAATTCGGTTATCAGAAAAAAAAACACTTGCGATTAGTATTTGTTGAAACGAACTGTTGCATAGATTTCCGGAGGACGGGTTAGTTTATTCTGATGAGTTCTAATTCTGTTCAAAAATATGCCTCACACCCTGTATACGTTCGAATAGTCGATGTAGGAAATGTATAGTTTATCCAAAAACAATTGCAGAGTCTTGTGCCGCATCTTCAGTCATTTCCAAGGAAACTTCAAACACGCCGACGCCGCACAGTACAGGATATTCTGCAATTGATATTGGATATACTATACCAGTTATCACCTGGAGAAGCTACCTATATTGTGTTTTTGAGAATCGTATCGTTCGTCATACAGGGTTTTTCCGAAATTAGACTGATGAATAAAATGAGATAATATAACAAGAAAGAAATGCTTTGAAGATTTTTCAAATAATGTGCACTCACTCCCAACGTACTACATATTCCATCTATCCAACAATATCTGTTTTTCAACAAAAAATGTATTCTTTCATGTCGTTTTATTTTTCCTTCTCCTATCATCCATTTGATTGATCGCACCAATTTCGAAAACACCCAGTCCCGTATGGAATCATAGATGTTATATAAAAGTATATTATGGTTGATTCGGCGATGTAATTTGAAGGACACGTTTATCCCTATATGATAAATTTTTCGATTTGGAAAGAACCAATAATATGTATAAAGCCAACATACTTTCCGAAATAATTTGGACCCCTTTAGTTTTAGTGTTCGAATCCCTGATGAAACTGCAAAGATACAATTTCTGACTAATTTCGGCAGTCTTGTTGGTTATAAATCCAAAGAACCTGTTGAAATGAACAACGGTTTCATCTCTCAAGAGGACGTCCTGTGGAACCTGCTAGAGAACGAGAAAGAAAATAACGAGTTAGAGAAGCAAATTAGTATACCGGGTGATTCTCCAAGGTGGGCTCATAACTATAACTTTTTCAATATTGAAGATGAAAAAAATGACATTTCGAGCTTGTGCATTATAGTTCAATATACACTTTTCGATATATTTACTCGCTTCTGCGTATTTCCGGTTCGAGCGGAAGTGACCCCAACTTTCGATTATTTAATGGTACAATTTCCATCAATGTTTTTCTCTGAGGGTCCTTAATAATCTGTATATCTCACAATAATTTGTCGGGCAAGAATCAACCCTACATGCCCCCTTTTTTTGTTAACCTAACCAAACCTGACCCACACATTGACCAACCTTCCTCGTTTTTCAGCGATGAAATTTTGGACGTTTAAAACGTCAATTATGTTGGAAGCCAGAATGATGGATGCAGTGTGTGAAACTCTCGCAAGCCGCTCGTTATTGTCTCAATCATGGAATACTCTTGATACTATTTTTCCTGGAAATATTCGTCGATTGACGTAATCCAGCTTGCTCCTTTGATTTCGCTAATGACATTGTTCCAAAACTTCTCGCCTACAGCTGGAAAATTTTGATAAACACTGTCATTTGGTGAAATTATTTGGCAACAAGCTGTCGTAACAATCGTCGAATATTTTTGGTATAACATATGAAATAATCTACCTGACACAATTTTTTTCATCACATTATCGCTATAATCACTACCCATACATATATATACTTATACATAATATACAATGAATGAGAAATGTATCTGATGGTACCTACTTAAAACAGCTTCCTCGTATAATTTTGTGGAAAACGACGTACATTATTCGCGAAAATCACGAACCAATAGATGGCTCTATTTAACGTCAAATCAACGTCAAATTTCAAACTGAGTATGAACAACAAAAACATTGCCGTATGCACTGGTTATTTCGAAATCATTTTGCAAAATAGTGAATAATGAGTTGACTTCGTGAAATACGTACAAGGTTTCCAGTATGGAAAAAATTACTTTTCGAACAGAGAAATTGCTATTTTGATGTGAACAATATGCAACAATGGTGGTATTCATCATTGATATCACACTACAATTCCACAGTTTTCAAACATATGGAATGGTCGGAATGGTCCACTCAACACTTGCATGGACTGGAATGGAGCCATATAAGCAATCAGCTATTACAACAATATGGTATAGGTATGAAGAAATAATTTAATTCATCAAGAAATATCACTGGCTTTTATGAAGGAGATGGAATTCCAGTGAAGGGGCTGGGAAAAGAACATATGGTTGGAAAGGCTGCTCAGAATGAACAATATCATCGATTTACATAAACAAGGATCTCCAGCAATTGAAGACTTGGAGTTATTCTCAAGATCGAATCATTGCAACCAACATTTATACAAGAATTCTAACTGTGCTTCAGAAAATGTATATTATATTATTATAAGGTAGGTACTGGCTTCTTCATTGTAAACAATAAAAGTTCATGCAATAATTCGAGTTTTTTCATCAGGGAGAAATGAGGTTCTGGAATATGCACTTCAACAAATAAATTATTTTCATATAAAACACAGTAACTCAAAACAATAGTCGCCATATTTGTTGTTCATACTCGCAAGACTTGTAAAGTTAGCCACCAGAGGCCGCACACTTCGTGATTTTCGCGAATTGTATATTGTGTCAGTTAGAACCATATACGTATCAATAAACAATACGGATCATAACGGGTGCCAGGATGAAGCCAAAAATATGAAACAAATGAATATCCATAAGGATTTGGTGGCATGATACGCATGCGCCATGCGCTATTATAGTAGTCATCAAGGACATGCGTTTCGGTGGACAATGACGTTTACTAGCCTTTCAATCAAAGCAGTATGTGTCTGATCGTTTCAAAACTTTTCCTTATGGATAATCATTTGTCTTCAAAAATCGGCTTCATGTTTCGCTATGGAAACAGATAGAGATTATCCGTATTGATTATTAATACGTATATGGTTAGAACCTTATTGTTGAATCACTTGAATATAGAAGATTCTTCTGGAACAGAGTTCTGTTCGAATTGACATCGATTTGAGAATGGGAGATGAAAAAAAATTAACTGACAACAACTTCAACTCATTTGAATATACTCAATCAGAACAAAAATCTGATCGATTGAAATGGAACGAAATAAATAAAGTCAAAAGTTCGCAGCACGATTCTGAACATACTTGATTCAATACGACATTATTCAATTCTGTTTTGAAAGGATAGTAAAATGTGCTGCGTTAGGCTGTATCAATCAGTTGGATGACAGATTTGAAATTGTCAACTTTCCATCAAATGCAAATGAACCTAGAACATGGAAAGTGAAGTGATCGAATGGGAAAAATTGGTACATCAGCAAAATATTCAAGGTAAACCTAATACGAAATCAGATATTATACTATCTCATTGTGCCTATAATTATCCACTCCACAAGTTTTTGAATGCATTTTAGTAGAAACAGTTTTGATTAAAACGGAGGATTAAAAGAATAGGCATATGCCCTACCATTAAAAAAATTATACCTTCACTCAGGAATTAAGTGTTCGTGAAAAACTGCAAAAATGATTCCCAACATGAATATATACAGCACACATGACATATGAGCACATCAGTTTGAATACCTACATAAAATTTTTCACCACATCTCAACCATAAGGCTAAGTCTGGAATCAAAATTCATTTATTGATAGGTACTTCCTAAGAACAGTCCCATTTGGTAAAACGGATCAAACGTTCAGAAAAATTTCCTCACTGCCTCACAAAGATTATGCTGGAGTTGAAAAATCAAACGCTCGAAAATTATCACCATCATTTGGATATGATAGGTAGAGTTGAATGAGAAATTACATATGGAAATTACGTATGATACGCCAATGTCCTCAATATAACCTAAAAAACAACAAATGTCAGAAATCTAGTGTTTATCCCCAGAAATGAATAAAGATGGAACTATCTAACCGTTCATTACTGTTTCACAAACACTTTAGAGTGAGAGGAGACGAGGATCTGTCCGTACTCTGATGACAAATATGTCAATTTACATCAAGGGACCCTACATATTATTAGTTTCAAGTGTAAAAATATTGTAATATCATGTTACCTACCCCGTTTTCGCCAACTTCCTTTAATGTTACATCGACATATGGAGATGTAGGTCTGCAAGGTAATATAACAGTTTCGTACTGTCTTCCATATATGATATCTACTGTACCATTATCCAGGTCATCGATGTCTGCTGTTACTGATAGATTCTCAGGATCTGGAAACATGAGAGTTGATTCATTAAAATAATACCTATATAAGATATTGTATATTATTCAACGAGGGCATAATGATGGCTATTAGCCATTATGCGCGAGTAGAATACTATACTTCATATATCAAATATCAAAGCAATAACTTGGAGAGTTCAGAAATATATATTCGGAAATAAGGAAGGTTATACATGACCTTTCCGTGCACCATGCGAGCAGCTTAAGTAAGTATAACTTATTTCTTTGTGAAAATATTAAAAACAATGTATGTACATACAATGTTGGATGTCTAACGTTTATATGTATACGGGAAACAAGTCCTGCGGACGCATATCAGTCAATCTTATCAGGTATTATATGCCATTTCAGTATGTAGAATGAATCATATTATTGCAGACTATTCATTTAGGAATTTTTCTGTATTGCTTTCTTTTGTGTCCTGTCTCTATAGATGGCCTGGCACGTCTCAGGTAGGATTGATTACGTGACGTGCACATAAGTGTGCGTAAAATGAATTCTTACGTTCTCCGATCTGCAACTGTCAAGTGCCGAGTCCTTTTTTATGGTTAGATTAGGCGTTTTCGGAAACCAACTCGGGTTGACTCGATCCCTAACCTGCACGTTCGTTTACCTAACCCGAGTAACATACCCATGTTCGGAAACTTCGGTGTTACCTACTCGATCACTAACTCGGGTTCATGTTTCGCAACCCTGCTCCAAAGCAGGATCAGCCAGAGTTACTACCTTAGATCATACACTTACTACCACAGAACTACTCACGATTCATGTATTTCTAAGGTCTCTTCAGATATTATTTGATTTCATCAATTGAACAAGAAGTGAATTATGTTGAATAGCATTAGTTTGATGATGAAAATACACCAACATCATGAGCTGAAGCAATATTCATCATTTCTAGAACAATAACAACGTGTATCTTTTAAGAGTTCAGTGGTATGTTTTAAATGTTTTAAAGAAATGGAGAAATTGATCCGAAAATATTGATATCGCATAGCAAACTGAAAAAATTGCATACGTAAGAAATCAAGAAGAGGTATAAAGCTAACTCAATAAAATAGTAACCTGATAAGTTCGTAAACTATAGTATTAGGATAAGTGATCCGACTGATCCATCACGTGACCCGTTCAGATCGAGTCAACAACCCAGAGTAAGTTTCCGAAAACGCCTAATTGTTATATGGGTTACCTACCATTGAACTCGATTGTTGTCGTTGTTGTTGTTGTTTATTGTTCCAGTCAGTACTATTGTCTGCTATTGTATTCGATTAACTAATATTTGATGATGTTCAGTACCAAAGTACTTTTCGATGAAATCTAGTACTAATTGAGTGTTGAGATCATTGGGTTCACATTGTCCGCCAAGTGGATGAAACTGAATTGCTCCAGTTTGTATTTCTGAGGAGTTTGATACATTTCTTCCATCTTGGAAATATTTATACAATATACGTTTGATCAATTGTTCGAATTTAATTTTGCCTTTCGATATTTTCAGGCGGTGAAATTATTGGACTTTAGTGGCTTGAATTTGTGAATAAAAAACTATGCGAGAACATTGAAATTGAGTAGTAAATTTCCAATTCTAGTACTTTCCCAAAGTGTGATCTTGTACTATATATTCTCGGTCAGGAAGAGCCCTGTAAAATCACTGATTCGCCTTTTGGTCACGGTAGGAGAAACATGGCGTCCCCTGGCCAAAAGTCAGGTTCATGTGTGTGCATGTCCAAAATATTATCATTACCTGATCTGTATTGAAATCCAATATTCAATGTGAAGTTTAAAGTTCAATAAGTGTGTGTGAAAAATATCACATCAGGTCATTTTATCTCTACGCAGGTATATAGTCCGGATGATGACGGATTCATCGGATCAGGGGGCCATACTTGGAGTCAAACGTGCTCCATTATCTTTACGCCGGTAACCAGGCCGGGTCAATAACGGATTTGTCGAATAAGAGGAGTACAAACGATCGAATCTTATGCATACTGATGACTCGGCTTCATACCATTGTGATAGACAATCGGTGTCTTATCTGGCGAATCGAGTCGTTTCAATGTTAACTGATGTTTTGGATAACTAAAATTCAAATTTCGTCGGATACCTGGGAGTGATCGAATTTAATCAGGGGTACCTTTTTTGTAGTGAACTCTTCTGTAGTGAACAAGTTACGCAATTCAAATTCCATATTCAAACCCCTTTCTTTTCATTGGCGTAGAAGTTTTAGATGTTTCTTTACTGAAAAAATCAAGTTTTATGCTCATGAAATGATATTTATCATTGTCGTAATATGGACTTTATTGCCCAATGAAGCTATGTCAGCGTACCAAATTTGAAGACCTCATGAGCCGTTTCGAAGTTGTGAAGCAAAAACGATTCAAAAATTGTAACTTCAGGGCCGTCAAGCGCCCAAACTGAGTTATAACTTTGCTTGTATCGAATTGTTTTGGTCTGAAGAATATGTAGTGAGTTTCTGTAAAGACGTTCTAGGGACATTATGTATAAATAAAGAAATACATTGAGAATTCGCATTCTGTATGAAATGAAAATATTAATTCTTTCTCGGTATATTCAACTGAAGACAGGCTTTCCTGGTTATTTTCTTACCTATCACCTACTTTCAGATATACGTCGGTGAACCAAACAAACTGTATTGATGTTACAGTTTTATTTCATCATTTTGTTAAAATTGATTTGAAATGATGTGGAAATGGAGCAATGAAGAAAGGCAAGCGAGAATAATTATTTTGAAAGGAGGTGGATGTTATTCATCCATCCAGATTTTTCAACATTCTCTCTTATCGTTTCTTTGGGCTTGCGTCATAAGCATCGAAATGTCTACAGAGCAACGTGTCGGCTTATGGGTGCCAGAGGTCTCGGGTTCCGATAATTTTGCATACACTTTTTCGAAATGTTTGATTAATTGAAAAAATACTCTTTCGGAAATGTTGTGTATATAGTATTGCTAACAAATTCGATTTAACCGCCAAAAGCATTCTCATTTATGACGCCAACTCACTAGACGCAAGTGGAAGAATCAAGTATTGCATTATTTTGAAACTCCGCTATTTCCTTGCATAGAACCCAACAGTTAATAGATCCCATGAGTAGATCTGAAGTAAAACGATCATCATTACGCAACTATAGCAATATCAGGAGAATCGATCCATGTGGAAAAACCGGAATGAATATAATCAGAACTCGATCAATTTGTTGCATTAAATGACAAAATGAGTGGATTGTACTCGATAAATTCCTTATCAGGAAAAATACTATGTATACTTTCTATGTATACTCATCAAAAGAGCATATATTATTCGAATTCATACACTAACCAACAGATATCACATTAAATGATTACATAGTAGTAACAATGAGTATGTAAAGAAAAAAAGTTATTATAATGATTATGTCAAACAGCTCAATATTATGAAATTGATGGGATGTTCTCTCAATGGTGCAGTCACTAAATCTGTGATACTTATCACTAGGAGTACCCATTCGTTATGCAATCATATTGCTATTTCCTGAGGAACAAATTCCATAAGTGAATATGAGAAAAGGAGGAATTTTTACATAATCATATTTGTTCAGCTACCTCTGAGATGCCCAGAGAGATCTTGATGAGAGTCTGCATCTGAGAAAGTTGTTGTTTCTGGTGAAATCTTATTTTTCATAAAGATTCTCGGTGAAGTGTATTTCTGAGGTAATGAAGCAAACATCTGATGTCAAATGTGATGAGAATGTTGAAATCATTCAATTGGAGGCTGATATTCAACTATCACCATAATAATTGTTATTTCTTTGAGCCTAATTCGATTACGTATATATCTTCAAGTTGTGGGCTTGTTTTGACAATGCAGTGCAAAATCAATATCTGCAGATCCAATGGATTCTTTTCGATAGAGATTTTGGTTGATTATTTCCAATAAATCACTGCTGATTGAATCATTATCAATATTTTGCAACGGACAAGAATTGTGTGTGTTCATAAAATGATACGAATCGTGAAAAAAATTCAATGAAGGTAATGAAATCATTATTTCAAGGTCAACATATGTTTTGTTGGATAATGCTAGTGAAATTAAATCGTGATACATATTTCTGACGCATGGGCATAACATTTCGAGAAGATTTGTGTGATGATATTGTTACGAGTAGAACACTCGGTATATGGTGTATTAGTAATTTCTAATCATGAGGGTTTTATAAACATGAAGTTAATCCATCCGTTGACATTCAACTAAGAAAACTGACCAAGGAACTCTCATGGCAAAGGTGTAATGTAATTCTATAATAAACTGTTGTATTTCTCTTGACTTGACAGGAACTCGTCAATATGGTCTTTATAATGTAAGTTGTCATTAGGTCTTTATAGTTATTTATGTATCAAGGGCGTAAAGTAGGCGTTTATGGCCTGTGGCGTGAATAATGGCCCGATGGCGCTAGCCGAGGGCCATTACACGCTCAAGGCCATAAACGCATTTCACGCACGTGATACATACAAAATTTTATGCACAAGTGGTTTATTTTCTGACCCAAAAGTAATGACTATAGATATCGACAAACTAATATTTCCCCGAATTTGATTTGTTGCGTATTAATTCAGTAATCAAGAGAAGCGTAATGTTCATGGATGATTCACATATGAAAATTTTCGTACGAATATTGCAATTATCGTAATAGTAAAACTCTTTGATCTCTAGAAGAGATTCATTCTTCAGAATTTTACAATATGCATACCTAGTATATATACCTAACTAATTTTGACGTTGTCCATCAAACTGATGGTTGTTGTCTATATCAATACATCCAATAAACGAGCTGAATTGTCATTCTTTGACTGAAAAGTAAAAATTAGTGATAATAATAATAGCGATAGATATGGAATCGGATAAAGAAGAAGTTTATGATATACCGCTGGATATATTAGAATCTAGGAAAATGATCATAGGTTTTTCATTAATTGATATGTGGATATAAGGTGACTGAGAACAGCGGGCGGTAAAGTGCACTTTACGGCCCGTGGGCCATAATGAGCCCGCGGGCGGTAAAGTGCGACTTAACGCCCGCAAAACCGGGCGGTAAAGTGCACTTTACGGCCCGCTAGTGCATAAAATTCATCATTGTTCATTCATATTAATCATCACTACCCATAATGTTTCATGCTATAATAAATATTGTTATATATTTCCGTATTTTCAGCTACCCCTAAACCATAGATCTAAATATACACAGATCTATGCCTAAACTATTAGTGCCTATCTGAATATTACCTCCCGCAAACCTTAAGAGGGGTTTAACCCTATGAGCGATCATTGGGGAAAGAAAGAACGGCAGAAATCAAAATAGTCGAAGCTCGCTGAATAAATTTAAGATTTTTTTTTCACTGTTCCGTTTCTGGAAGGTTGGATCTAGGCATCTTTCGGAGTACTTTTTCAAAATTTTGAAAAAAAATAGTCGAAAAAAATTGCAGAAAATTGACCATATTCACTATTTTTTTTTCTCACTAGGTATATTTTTTTTTGAAAAGTACTTCGAGAGATGCCTCACTTATACATTTATCTTTGTTGCAAAAAAAATGCGCAAGGATCCATTCAAAATATCACCATGAAAAGTGATTTTTGCTGGACCTCTGCAGACGCAATTTTGGATCATTTTTCTTCACTGATACGAGCGCCCTCACACGAAATATGCACTTCTACATGGATACTATGAATGGTTGGATGAATAGTGAATTCATTCATAAAAAGTAGCACTGAAGCTATTCAGAAAATTTTAGCACTGGAGATGGAACCAAAAGAAGTTGTAGATGGGTTGATTGAATTTTTGAATACGACGTATAGGTACGTTTATTAGGTAACCCATATGATAAAAATAAGTATGGTTTGTAGGTACGACCCAAATTCCAATTTCAAAATGCGAATATAAGGAATGCCAGAAGTTCCATCATATTTATTCTAGGTAATTACTGGTATTATATATAATATACGAGTTACATATTTTGATATTCTTGTCAACATTAAGAATTTGCCTTCTGGAAATAGATAAACAGAAAAATCTCTCATTGAAGAATAATAGTTTCTCTCCAGGTGACTCACCCAATTAGATGATAAAACATTTTATTACTCCATACTCATATTCCATTTCGGCCTATGCATATTTTTACGGAATACTGATGTATATTGCCTAAAGTACAACTTGTAAGCTGTGTTCAGAATGTTTCCTACGGATGTATACTTTTAATCCTTTTCAATGCTATTCAAATATTCCCGCTAAAAGAGTACCTGCGAGTGCTTGCGGCTGTCACCTAAATTTTGTACCAATCAATTGTGTGAATTATCATTATTACCATATTTGGCTTAGCGGCGTCTCCGCACCCCCCCTTGGCTCCTAGATCCGGCAGTAGTAGTTGACATGTCATATCGATAAGCATGTGTGACTATGCTCTAAATTTATATCGACAAAGTATCAAATAAAATACAGTCCACAAAATCGCTTTTAATTTAAATCGTTTGGAAGAAATAACCGATCACCTGAAATCGTTAGTGTGAATCGATCAAGCTGTGCCTGTGGGACTTACTCGGAGAATTCAGACGACCGCAGAAGCCTCAAGGGGTAACACTCAAGGCCGCTTTTACTATAAATGTCGAAATATTCTACGCTAGAATGAGTTGGAGTGAGACACTAGACGACTTCCTTCGTTATCGGGCCCCGCCTCCTTATTCGGACAGGATTTTTACTTCCCCCTTTACACCTTAGATTTAGTTTGACCTTTTTCAGAGGGTAAACCACTCCTCAAGGCCAAGCATACCTCTTATAAATCGATATGGGTGGAACACTATCCCAATGTCGTGACAGTGAAAGTCCTACCTTTAAGTTCTGACAATATGAGATTTGTGTGAAAGACGTTGTGTTTACTCACCATCAACATATAAATAAATCCTGGAACCTCTTTCAATGTCCTCAACGTTTTCATACAGGCAGTAATAAAAGCCAACAAACGGAAAAGTCATGTTGGTGACGTAGAGTCGACTTCCATAACGACCATGCAGATTGGTCGGTTTGACTTCTTCAATTTTGATCGTTGTCCATGTAGCGTATCTTTCCTAGAAAACGGATTAGAAAGTTCAACATAAACTGCGTCACCAATGATAAGTGGTCCACCTGAATATTTCACCTAATTTTGAAATCAAATATTATGAAAAATACTAGTCCGAATCTGGAACGGTTTGTTCCATGTTGTGTAATATTCGTTCAAGAATGAGATGGTCTACCTACTCTGCCCATGAAGTTCTTGTTTTCAGATCTACAGGGGGAAACATTGACCCATTACAAAAATGAATATTTTCAAAGTTATCCCAATCATATGGAAAAATTTTCGGATTTTTTTCTAGGGCATATTATGAATGCTTGATGTGTTTTGCCGAAACGGTTTCGAGAATTTTTCGCTAGCATACTTCATTAACATGCAACATCTTTTTTAATAGAAAATTGAAGCTTTTTGAATGATTGGAATAACTTTGAGAATATTCATTCTTGTAATGAGTCAATGTTTCTCCCTGTATATACTAAAACAGCTTTTCGACTGACGTAGTTTATTTGTTGCGCATAATTTTACTAACGTATTGAAAAATGCCAGGAAGACGCTTTGAACTTCTGGTAGCAGTTTTCCATGGTCATTGGATGTTGAGTGTGAAAAATTATTACATCACATTAATCTCAGACAGTATTCAATGCAAAATCTTCTGTTCAGAAAAATAGAGTGGAAGTCATCATACCTCTATTTTGGGATGTTTCCAATGAACTGGTCGATTTCCCTGACAAAGAAACGAGTCATTGCCGTTGATTTCCAGTACCTTCTCAGTTCCATTCACAAGCAGTATCTGAGGTTTCTCGAAAGTTTCTTCTTCTGAAACGCAAATGAGTGTATTATAGGACACAGATGAGTAGTGCAATAAAGATCAATGACGCTTCATTAAAACCAATTCCCTATATTACTATAGTGACTAACTATGGTTGTGGATTTTCTAACCTTCAACATCGATGTAAATTCTAGAACTTTCTTCAGGCTCTTTGGCATTCTTGTACTGGCAATAATAAAAACCAACAAATGGATACGTCATATTGGTTATGTAGAGGCGATTTCCATATTGGAAATACGGACTCGTTGGTTTTGTTTCCTCCATTTTGAACGTGGTCCATACAGAATATCTCTCCTGGAAATGAGATTACATTGTTCATCACATTCCTGTCTTGAAACCAATGGAACTAGATTTCATCCAAATTGGGGATTGTGAGTTTTTCTAATGACAAAATCCAAACTCATCGTGACGACATCATCATCATCATCATCATTTTTATTACTTCATAAGCTATTATACAACAGATTGGATTCGTCAAAAAATTACATACTAACATACACATAACAATAAGTAACAGACAAATAATATAATAAATGAGATGAATAGAACGTATACTTTAAAATATATCAGGAGTTGAGGACATAACATAACTAATTTGAACAAGTCATAAAAACTAATCATAAATATTATGAATATCAAATCATATCAATATCTGTCAAATAATCCACAAATCCATATTTCGAATAGAAGCACCCATTCAGAAGATTATTTTTAAAATTTATCTTGAATTCGATATCTCTCAACTGCTTGAGATCAGTAGGTAGGGGGTAGGGCATTATAAAGATTACTACCAGCATATTATATTGGTGATTTTTTTATAGTTAGAGTAACGCGGTTTCTTGAGTTTTATATTAGAATTGTTCCTTGTATTGTAGTTATGAAGGTCTGAATGTTTGTTGAGTGTATTTTTGTAAATGTGAATATATGTTAGTATTTTATATAAGTAGATGCAGACAACTGTGAGGATACCTTGTTGTTTGAATGTGTTTCTACAAGACGAATTAAATGGGAGATTGAATAACAATCTGACGATTCGTTTCTGTCAGATGAAGACCCTTTCAATCTCGGATGCCTGACCCCATACAATCATATTATATGACACAGTCGAATATACAAAGGTATAGTGAATATTCATTAGAGAATGGCTGTGCAGATTGTTTTTGAGAGATGAAATTGCGAAAAAACTTGAATTCAGTTTTCGACAAACCTGATCAATATGGTGTTTCCATGTCACATTTTCATCAATTATGATCTCTTTAAGAGATCGAGCTTGGACAAAATACAAGAAATCTAGGTCGGTTGCGGACTGGAACGGCTATAAAGAACTTAGGAATTACACAACTAGTGCTTTACGTCGGGAGAAAAAAGCCTATCTCGAATTTACTCTCGCGAGGAAAGATTCGAAAGCAACATGGAACACTTTAAGATCGCTGGACATTCTAAGGAAAACAACTTGTTCAGAAATTCCTCCCAATCTCAAAGATGTCGATCGCATAAATACTCACTTCAATTCAATTCCGCAACCTGACCGATCAGACAGGCAGATTTCGCTGCTGGACCGTTATCAAAATCCTCCATTTTCGGAAAACCACTTTCATTTCTCCACTGTCTCCAGCCAAACGGTGCAAACCTATCTACAACGGATTAAAAGTAATGCTGTTGGCTCCGACGACATCTCACTCCGGATGATTCGTCTCGTCGAGTCATCACTTTTGAAACATATCACTCGTTAACAAAATAATAGCTACCGGGATATTTCCTCACTGTTGGAAACATGGTATAGTTCTACCTTTAGCCAAGTGCAATTCTCCTACCGGGTACACCGACCTCAGACCTATTACAATTTTACCGAGCCTGTCGAAGGTGGCGGAAATGATACTGAAAGATCAGATAAATCTTTTTGTAAATGAACGCGGAATTATCACCTCAGTGCAGTATGGTTTGAGAAGCCAACACAGTACCACCACAGCCCTCTTGTCTATTTCGGATGATCTTTACAAAGCCCTTGATGAAGGAAAGTCAACATGTCTGGTGCTTCTGGACTACAGTAAAGCCTTTGACACCCTTGACCATGACATTCTGTGCGATAAACTCAAGTATTTTGGTTTTTCCAAAAATGCTGTAAGCCTAGTGAGAAATTATCTCTCAAACCGCACACAAAAAGTTGTTCTAGACGGAGTTGCCTCGGAGGTACTGCCTGTGTCGAAAGGTGTTCCACAAGGTTCCATACTCGGCCCCTTGTTTTTCTGCTTATGTATAAGTGATTTCCATTTATATGTAGAAAAATGCAACATACATCATTACGCAGACGACACCCAGCTTTACTTCTCCTTCCCATTCCTCAATAAAGACACTGCGGAAATACTCATCAATAATGATTTAAACACTATTTACGACATTTCTTCCGCCCATAAATTACAACTTAACTCAAAGAAATCTACTGTAATGATATTCGGATCAAAAAAAGATAGAATAGACACTCAGAATGCCCTTCAAATTCGCATTGGTGATGACATCCTACCTTTCGTCTCAGAGACTAAGAACCTAGGACTGTGGCTCGATTCGGATCTTCGCTTCACTAGGCACGTAAACTCTTTGATTAAATCCTCTTACAACGTTCTCAGGCAATTGTTTCCAAATCGCGACTTACTCACCACGAACCTCAAGCTCAAACTATGTGAATCATTAATATTTTCTAAAGTCTTTTACTGTGACAGTATCTACGGACCTGCCTTAAGGCAGTCTGCTCCGGCAGTCTGATTCTATGCGCCTACAACGCATCCAAAATAGCTGCTTACGCTTTTCCTTTGGGGTCCGCAAATTTGACCACATATCATCTTCTATGAGAAAATCAGGCTGGCTGAGACTAGAAGAGCTCAGAAGATTACACCTGCTAACAAACACTCATAAAGTTTTAATCACAGGAAAGCCTGTGTATCTATCGAGCAAACTTAAAACTTTTTCGAATATAAATAGGTTCGCAACACGCAATAGATCAGTCTTAGTCATTCCCAAGCACAAGTCAACAATTTTTACACGTAGTTTCTCTTATATAGCTCCGAAACTATACAACTCGCTTCCTAGTGAATATAGATCGTTCACGATCAAAAACTTCAAAAAAAGGCTGAAGTCGCTTCTTCATGCCTAGTTCTCCTCTTATGCGGTATATGGCCCACTCATCATGATATGCGACTATGGTTCTTTATATATAGTATAGGTTGGCTTGATTTGTATACAAAATTTTGTTTCTCAAAAACGTGATAGTCTAAGACTCCTTTTTGTATTTCTCTTAATTAATTTTGGTTATTGTAAATGTATTTTCAAGGTTGAGTTTAAAAACAGCGTAAGCTGACACTCCGCCCTTTCACTTTGATCCCACTTCGACTCACAAAATTTATATGTAATTATTCATTGTTTCCTCATTGTGAATAAAGACGCTTTATTATTATTATTTATTGTTCCCAGGAGTTTTACAGGATTAGAAGCAACAGTGTTGTTGAACGAAATTCTTAGATTGAGTGGTGGCTGATGACTTTTGTGGAGCTCGATGCTCTCTGTCCTATCATAATTAATCATCGTGTTGTTAGATTGGCAATATATCGAGAATTCGGTCATCGTTGTATTGATTTTATCAAAAATATTATCCGAATCTGAATCTGATAAAACTATGGACGTATCATCGGCATACATTAGAACTCGTCCTTGGGATATACATTTCGGCAGATCATTGACGTAAAGTAGGAAAATGAAGGGCCCCAACACACTACCCTGGGGAGTACCCAAATTCCTGTGATACTATGTCCTCGATCTTTGTAAAAAAGTGTCAATTTTTTAAATAAGACATCATCCAGTTGTTATTTGGCTCCAGGATACCCATTTTTTCAATCTTTTCAGATACAAACGCCCGACTCAGGTCAAATAGTATTGTCACTACACGTTCACTATTATTCAACATGTCAAGAATGTGTTGCGTTAGTTCCACTGTGCCCGTCTTAGTAGAAAATCCTGCACGAAAATGTTGGCTATTCGACATTAGTTTATGTTGTTTCATGAAAGCCTCAACTTTTATACAGACAGCTTTTTCAATGATTTTTGAAAATATACTCAGTAGTGCTAGGAGTCTATAGTTTTCCATATCTCTTGGGTCATTTTTTTTGTAGATTGGTATAATGGCAGCAACTTTTAGGGATGTGGGGAACTTGCCAGAAGTCACGGATATATAATAATAATAATATTATAATAATAATTTATTTCCAATATAAACATACAGGTTTTTTCACGAATAGTTGACGATATGGAAATAAATAGAGCGAGTAGATTCACTGAAATCCGTAGATTGGTACGTGTTCGGTTTCTCTCTAATAAATTTCTAAATCGAATCGTGAATATTTGTTAAGAATTAATAATTAAATACCTAAGTTTCATATAGAGTTCAATCATTCAGTAGGTCTGATTCAATACAATAAATAACTTATAATTTGATTGGCTAATATTATTTTATATAAAATAAACTGCAATTATTGAAGTAAGTATTATTCAATAACAATAAATACTCGATTGCATTCAATATAATTTGACATAAAAACTGTAGATATTGAAAATGAATAACACATACTTTGATTATGATTTGATTATGTTTCGTATCCACATTTTCTTAGATACCTTCTGGTCATGAGATGAAATACTCATATGAATTTTGCTATACCTGATAAGAATACAAAAATTTCTCAATGTAACAATGCGTCAGTACAGAATCAATGATTTTTTTTCAAATTAGATTATTAGATCGATCCAGTTGTGTAGTTCCTTTCGAAGAATAGTATAGAGCCATGATCTCAAATATTTCTTGAACTGGGTTTTGCTTGCGTTTTCTTCAATTATGTTGCGAATCTTGCGGTAAACATGTGGAGCCAAAAATCCATACGATCTTTGACTCAAACCTTTTTGGAACTTGAAAGTTATTGTTCTCATATTTTTTTGTGCCTGGTATTGTATTCATGATTTATCCCAACTAGTTCCGCTCTTTTTCATGCTGTAAGTTCATGATTTTGTAAACATAGATTTGTCTTACATCAAATAGTTCACTGGATTCATATACGAGAACACTCCTGTACGTTCTTTTTTTCCCCAGCATGATTTTTATAAAATATTTCTGGATAATCTCGAGATTTTTCAGATGATTTTTATACGTATTCCCCCAACCTACAATTCCGTATTGAATGTGCGATTCTACCAATGAGAAGTATATTTGTTTCAGCTGTGGGAAATTCAAGATCCTTTTCAACTGTCTGAATTTGAAGAGAATGCATCTCAGTTCTTTGACCAAATATTTCACGTGAACATCCCATTTCGAATATCTGTCAATTTCCACCCCCAGATACCTTATATGATCTGACTCTTCGATATCAATGGGTGGAGTTAAATTCAAGGTGAGTTTTTTGTATTGGGGAATCTTGGTTTTGTTGCAGCTGAATGGGATAACCGTGTTTTCTCAAAGTTTATAGTGAGAGACATCTCGTAGAACCATAATTTTAGTTTCCTCAAATCTTTCTCGGCTATCTGTTTCACACTACCCCATGAATCATCATCGTACACAATTACTGTATCATCGGCAAAAGTTGACACAATTACACTACTTTCTAGTTTGAGGAGACCATTGATAGAGATTGTGAACAATAATGGTCCCAGAACAGTACCCTGGGGAACCCCAAATTCAATTACACTTTCGTCGCTCAGGTTTTCGTCAATTTTAATAATCTGTATACGGTTGTTCAAGTAAGATTTCATTAGGTTGAGATTGTTTCCTCGTTTCACACTACCCCATGAATCATCATCGTACACAATTACTGTATCATCGGCAAAAGTTGACACAATTACACTACTTTCTATTTTGAGGAGACCATTGATAGAGACTGTGAACAATAATGGTCCCAGAACAGTACCCTGGGGAACCCCAAATTCAATTACACTTTCGTCGCTCAGGTTTTCGTCAATTTTAATAATCTGTATACGGTTGTTCAAGTAAGATTTCATTAGGTTGAGATTGTTTCCTCGAAAACCAGTGTCCTCCAGACGATCAATCATTATTGTATGATCGACCGTGTCGAAGGCGTTTGTCAGGTCGAGAAACACACCAAGCACAGCACGGTTCTGGTCCAACTTTCAATGTAAATTGTTTGTTAGATAAATAATCGCATCTTCTGTTGATACACTTTGTTCAAAACCAAATTGCTCATAAGAAATTACTTTATTTTTTTCAGAAAGAGAAATTATTCGTTTTTCGATTATTTGATTATTTTATATAAATGATACCGGGTGACCAGTTATATTCTGACCCATTTCAAATGCTTATATCTCTGAAACAATTCAAGTTATCGTTGTGCAGTTTGGACTAGTCTATTTTGATATTTTTCAAGTTTTTTTTGACAGGTTCACCTTCTCTCTTGAACTTCCGGTTCTACCGGGAACAAACTAGCCATTATTCAGGTATAGGGCAACTTTTTTATTTCATGGAATCACCCTGTATATTTTTGCACATTCAGAAAGACTGGTCTTTTCTCTTTCTAACAATGTATAACAAGTTATGTTTTCTCAGAAAACTATCAGAGTTATAACTGTTTGAAACAACTACTGCATGTGGAATGGTTTGATGAGATTTTGCAATGTAACCAAAGTCGTCTTTGGAAATCCTGATCACAACACATGAAATGCCAGATTAGATGTGTAAAATAAAGATTGTCGAGCATTTGTACTTTCTTCGAGTTGAAAAAATGTTTACTTTGACTGAAAAAGCAAATGAACTCATCATAAATCTGCATCAGATTTATACTCAATATGCGGTAATTCAGCATTTCAGGATAACATCCTAATATGCAGTAGATGCTTCAAACAGTTATAACTCTGATAGTTTTCTAAGAAAACATAACTTGTTATACATTGTTAGGAAGAAAAAAGACCAGTCTTTCTGAATGTGCAAAAATATACAGGGTGCTTCGATGAAATAAAAAAGTTTCCCTATACCTGAATAATGTCTAGTTTGTTTCCGGTAGAACCGGAAGTTCAAGAGAGAAGGTGAACCTGTCAAAAAAAACTTGAAAAATATCAAAATAGACTAGTCCAAACTGCACAACGATAACTTGAATGGTTTCAGAGATATAAGCATTTGAAATGGGTCAGAATATAACTGGTCACCCGGTATCTGCTGAGATTGGAGCCATTTCATCAGTGCATTCTTTAATCAGATTAACACGTATTTCATCGGGACCCGTAGACTTCTTATTCTTCAAGTTTTCGTTTATTTCTTTAATGTCGTTAGGAGTAACCGGGATGAAGAACATTGATCGATTCGCAGTTATATCAGTGGTAAAAGTCAAAGTCACTGATGGGTTTGTCATTATCTTCAACTATAGAGTAGGGAAGTGCTGCAAATCAATATGTTTTTTCATATTTACCGTTATTTCTGGAAGTTTCCATTGAACTGGTTTATTGCCCTGACAAAAAATTGAGTGGTTGCTGTTGACCTCTAATATCTCTTGGCTTCCATTCACGAGTATTTGCGGTTTATTGAAAGATGCCCCACCTGAAATAAAAGACACAGCATTTAAGGAAACAATTGAATGCGACAACGAGGAAGATGTTGTTAGTTGGAAGGTGATAAGTAATTTCAACCCTTGATTCTCGAATCATTTGCTAGCACAATGGGTACATACTCCTACTCAGTAACACTGAATATAGTAGTTTTTAAGAGGAAGAAGCCAAGGGCGTCGCCAGCGGAAAAAATAGGGGGGGGCACCATAAAAAAACTGAAGATAAAAATCAAATAGAAAGAGTTTAATGAGAAAATCCAAAAACAGAAAAAATCTATACAGTAAATCAGTTGAAAAATAATCTTCTAGGGTTCTTTGGGAATTCGTTGGTCACTTTTTGACGAAATCGTTCAAGTTTTTGAAAATATGTTGCCTGTGTATACTCATCATTGCGAGGCCATTGAGTCGAGCATCATACAGGTTTTGATTCTCCTAAGGCTACTAAATGACCTTTCAACTGTACAAATCTTACAAGGTAAAGGCAACAAGGATCTTTAGAGCCTTCTCAAATATACTTTCGGAAGTTCTTTGCTCAAAGTGAGCGTTATCATAAGTAATATCACGATATTCTTAATATTCGAGATAATTCTGTCGCCTCATTGTTCACGAAATTGTGTTGCTGAGCAACACCACGAGTCAGGACGAAAGGTAGGGCTGTACGGCAACACAATAGATTTGACAAGGAAATGAAGAATTATGAGAATATATTCAGAACAGAGTGGAGACTATTTCACGTTCACGAAACAAAGAAGCATTTATTTTGAATGAATGATTCATTCTGACAAGTACAGTCATTATTTTTTGCCAAATTGACAGACTCCGCTTCGCTACCCATGGTTACATCGTTGAAAACATCTAGTTTTCGCAATGAGCACACGTTTTCTCTGGCTTGTGATTGGTCAGATTATGTGATGAATGAAATAGTGGTTTCAATGATAGCAGGGTGACTAGTGAGCGTTAAACGTAGGGGGGCGGGGCAGCTGCCCCACCCTGCCCCTCTCTGGCGACGCCCTTGGGAAGAACACCATGTAGTACCCTGCTGAATACTAACTAATATATAAATATGAAACCATTTTTTATCAGCGTCCACTGGTTTGGACATATTTCATGACAGTCGTTGGTTTATTACCATTTTCCAAAGTAGTTGTATTGTTTCCATGGTTTAATGGCTTACTCATCATGTAGGTAAATACTCGGAGTGGTATCATCAACATTCTATATCCGAGCGTAGTACATAATATACATTTTCTTGGGAAACATTTCAGAAAATGTTTGATTTTCCATGTTCCTATGATATTATCACAGGATGTTTGCCCACACATAGCGATATTCATGACATCCTCTTTAATGCAGAGAGTAACGAACATCGAAGCTTTTGAATTTCATTGATCATTATTCGAATTTGATTGGAATTCTAGTCATATACTTATTAATAATCAATACGGATAATCTCTATCTGTTTCCATAGCGAAACATGAAGCCGATTTTTGAAGACAAATGACTATCCATAAGGAAAAGTTTTGAAACGATCAGACACATACTGCTTTGATTGAAAGGCTAGTAAACGTCATTGTCCACCGAAACGCATGTCTTTGATGACTACTATAATAGCGCATGGCGCATGCGTATCATGCCACCAAATCCTTATGGATATTTATTTGTTTCATATTTTTGGCTTCATCCTAGCACCCGTTATGATCCGTATTGTTTATTAATACGTATATGATTCTAGTATGCAGATACATCATTCTATCTTCCAAGAATCCACACAAGGAGAGACAGGCTTGCAGATACATATCATCGTTACTTGTAATAGACTTATAATAATAATAATAATAATAATAATATATGCTTTATTGTCTGAAGAAGAAACTTGTTGACAAAGCTAGGTCAGATAATATTGTAAAAAGAGGTTAAAATATAACGACATAAAAATACGTGACAAAATATAGTCGAAATAAATACCACATTAAAATACTAAAATATCACATTTCAAACGTATCACTATAATATTCCTGCAAACTGTAATAGGGTCTATCAGAGAGGAACTTTTTGACTTTCTTCCTGAATTGACAGTCATTCAGACTTGCTGATCTAATATTAACTGGCAAGTGGTTGTACATTTTTCCACCATTATATAGTATATGGAATCTTTAATAAACTCTCTTGTGGGTAGAGGAAGTTTCAAACTGAAATTTCTGTTACGCGTGTTATGATGGATGGGAGTTGTAGTGAATTTTACCTTGTGCTTATTTATCAGGCAAACAGATTCCAGAATGAATAGTGCAATCACTGTCAATATCTTATTATTGGAAAATAAAATTCTGCAAGAATCCCGAGGTTTGACATTACACAAATACCTTATCGCTCGTTTCTGTAGAATTAACAGAGTTTTCAAAGACGTTGGGCTGCACACTCCCCAAAAAGGTATTCCATATCGTAATTGGGAATCTATTAGTGAAAAATATACCATCTTGGCAGTAAAGAATCCTGATTCCCTAGAAATCACTCTCACTGCATAACATCCAGAAGAAATCTTACCAGTGAGTATCTTGACGTGGTTACCAAATTTCAGATTTTTGTCGATCAACAATCCCAGAAACTTAGTATCATTTATACTTTCAATAAAATTATCACCAAACGTGAGTTCATCAAGGGAGGATCTGAATGATATTATACTAGTTTTAGATATATCGAACGACAGAATATTGGCGTCACACCAATCTTTCACCTTTTTCAAATCAGATGATATCATTTGATGCAGATCTCGAGGATTCCTACTGTTCCATAATATAGTAGTATCATCTGCGAATAGAGTGAACTTTCCAGTTATATCAATTTTCGTGAGGTCGATATACAATAAAAAAAGTACAGGTCCTAACACAGATTCCTGTGGAACACCATGATCAATATTTCTCTTCTTGGAGAGTTCTTTCGTTTTGGCCACTTGATTTCTTCCTGATAAATATGATTCGAACCATCTGTATGTCATTCCTCTGCATCCATACTGATGAAGCTTTCTCAGCAGTATTCCATGATCAACACAGTCGAATGCTTTTGATATGTCACAAAACACCGCCGCGGAAATCTCACTTGCATTTATTTCCGAATAAACTTTATACAGAAATGAGAATATTGCATCGTGCGTGTTTTTGTTTTTTTGAAAACCAAACTGTTATAAATAGTTATTTTCATTCGAGAATAAACAAATATTCAGCTGAATGATGAAAATTCAACAGGTCTGTGTGTTCAGAGATTGATTTTCCTCAATTGATCATCAGTATTATTGATATTGACTTCAAAACCAGTTAGCCAAAGTATTGAGTTCAGGTGAGTGTGACATTGCATTAGTCATCAAACTAATGGAGCATTACTCAACGATTCTTTACAGTATATATCTTTATTGTTGAAACAACCATTCATGAGTTTTTTTCTTGGAACCTGTTTTCTTGTATTCCTTGAATGTGGACAGATTTCATATTGGATGTAAAGTTTCATGAAATGCAATCGAATAGTTGTTATACCGGGTAATTCAAATTTGTGGGTCACCATTGAGATCTCGGAAACTATATAGGAGATAGGAAGATGGTCGAAGAAACAGACATTTTCATAAATCTATTTTATGTCTAAAAATTGTTCTAAAATTGTTCTATCCGTCATTCGGTTGCCCCCTTACGAGCAACCCTCAGAAGTCTTCGAAAGTCTTGTGCGAGCAAGGAATGACGGGGGGCCTTACCTTTTAACGAGTGATCCCAAACACTTTCTTAGGCCATCAGAAAAAGTCTGCGTTCGTGGGACTCGAACCCACGATCGATACCTCGACGTGAATCGATATTGAAGCATCGAAGCACTGAGGTATACGCCGTAGGTTCGTTATTTATTTGAGAATATCGAAACTGAGAGCATATTTACATTGTCACTTTTTTCCAGCTACACGATGACATGTTCAGATTAACCATACTATTATTATTAATGAAAAACCTATCATGGCTCCCATAAGAAAAAATAATGTTCATCATTGTGGCGCGAAGACGTCGGATTGTGAATTCTAGTATAGCAGGGATAAATTGACAATGTAAATCTGCTAACAATTTAAATATTCTTCAACATATTGGCACCAGAAAAAATAAGAATGAATCATCAAAATATCTGTTTTTTCACATATTACCTGAATTCGAAAATCTTCATATTTTTAGTCACATGAATGCACAACTATGCCCTAATTTACGTATCTCCATAGTTTCCAAGATCCCTATAAGAATCAAATAGGTATAAGAGAACTCATGGTTTCTAATTATCTGTCTATGTTTCTCATGTGGCATTTATAGCTTGAATTTATTTAGAAAGAGGTATAGGTGAGTTCATTCGTATTCATGCAGTGTACAGTTAGAACTAATTTAGGATGAAGAAAATAACTTTGTCGCTTTAGTGACGACGTGTAGACATAGACGATGATTCACATCTCGTTTTGGACAATATACTGTTATTCTCAATACGCATGGAAACAAAAAGCGACATATTTCAATCATTTTTAAGATCAGTTGAGTATTTTACTGTTCAAAAAATTCCAGCCACATTATATGATAATATCATTCATAATAATACGAATCAACAAGATACATTTCTTATTACTTTTAAGTGATAGTATGATTTGTATTCGAATGATTTAACAAATCCATTTTTGAGTCATGGAATGATTTTTCTCAAGCTAGAAGCCACATATCTTCCTAGTAGTCCAGAAATGTTTTGACTATTTACCAGTAATACCATACCAGTAAAAATTGACATTCCAAATTGTTGAGTCTTCCTGCTGTAATTGTAGATCACCTTTCGCCAACGTACTATATATAAGGAAGATTTTCTTGGGTCTTAACACCAACAAAGCTTGTGGCTCCGACGGAATCCCACCTGTTCTCTGCAAGTTGTTCGACTACTCTCACAAATTGGGGATATTCCCGTCCAACTGGGAAATTGCAAGAGTACAACCAGTTCC